ATGGCATTGCTTGTTGAATCAAATATAGTCCAGGTGACTGTAGCCACGGATACTGCAACATGTTGTTATTATTCATATAACAGCCTAATAGAAAACATCGAATATATTCTATTACACATAATCATCTATTCACATGATTTGAACATTATATAACAGAAAAACGAATATTTACCTGTACTGAATGCTTCCATATCTAACTAGACAGTTGCGCTTGTAGTGTCGAATTGTTCATTACAAAAGTCATAGTGACTAGGTATTAAAACGAAGATTTGATATATTTTCTCTTTCTCACTCTATTATAATTGATATCCTGATTTTGTTTAACTTAACCTTTCAATATATCATAACGAGCCATATTTCCTTGGTATAATAATTCTAAGGTCATCCCATCGTCGATGTTCTTTTCTTTCTCTTAAAATCAATTAGTGTTTAAAAGGTAGTATTAAATTATTGGCATTGAATTTTTCTTTTACTTTCCGCAACCAGCCATTTTTTAGATATAGGGCATATTTATCTTTAATTTACCTTTAAATATATTTACCACTCTGAGAAAGAATAATAGTAGTTCTTTAACTACATAATAGCTTTTCACACTGATTGCTTGTCTGATGATGAAATCAGTCATGCTTCATTTATTAGACGTATTCTTACAGAGGTCGATGGTAATCACTCAACATATATATTTGATGAAAACAGATTGATGTTCAAAATGAAATTTCTAATAAAGATTTTGCATAAAATTATCTAATACAATCAGTAATTTCACACCAAAAAACAGTCAACATTATGTTTAATTTTCATATTATCAGATGTTATAAAAACTGAAGACAAGTGATTTTCTTAACTCTTTATACTTTTTTATTATATTAAAACTAAGTTAGCAGCGATATAAGGATTTTTCTTGTGACGAGGCGATCTGGATTTAGCCAGCTAAAACATCTATTCGACGACCACATTCTCTGTGTAAAAAGACGGATTGTACAAAACAGAAAAGAGTTTGTCCATCAGTATAAAGCGTTGCTTTTTGTTCTGATATTTTTGTGAGTTTGTTTCTGATATGTCAGCCCCTTTATGAGTGTCAGTCACACTTCCTAACACAGTAGTTATTTACCGTTAGAACAATTCATGTATACAAGATCTCTTACGGATCCTATTCCATTGTTTATTTTATTCTTTTTTTCATTTCTCATAGATCCGGTATAAGCGGATAAGCGGAAGATAAGGTATAAGCGAGAAAATTTAGCTGACTGCAAAAAATAGTTCCACCGTCCACTTGTATCTAGACTAAAAGGTACATCTATCTAACTGCAAAGTGATTGAGTTTATGTTTTAGTTGAAGCAGTCACTGCATTTATCGATTAATCAGGCAATCAGTTATCAACAGCTAGTTAAATAAAATAGATACTATCCAGTTGCAGTTAAATGGACTTTATATCTATTTTACTACAGCTAGATACAAGCTAGATAAATGTCCCTTTGATCTAGATACAGACACCGGCTTAACGATTTTTTTTGGTATATGAGATATTTTGTTTTAATAGTGATTTTTCTGCTAATTATGAAGTATTTGATCTATATGAATGTTTATGAGAAAAATGATGTTTAAAATTATTTTGATGTTACTTCTGTAATACATATATGTATTGATAACTACCATAATGACGATGATACAATGGTAGCTAACTAACACTAATTTGATCATACTCATACGCTCCGTCATTATTATAGGTAAAAAAATCTTATCAGAACAATTCCGACCAGGACTAAAAATATGAAAGGTCCCATTCTTCTTACGAAAATGTAGAGAGAAATTTTCTTTTAAGTTAATGTTGTCTGGCACCTTAGAAAGTAGAGTTTTATTTAGAAAGGTTGTAAAATAAATTAAAAATCTTAGATTGTCTGTTTAAAAAAAGAATGGTCTCCACCATTTTTCGAATAACTTTTCGTAGTAAGCAGCTAGACCTCCACTTTTCGCTATTCGAAAGAAGAGACTTGGGAACATGTTTCCACAGGAAAATTTTCCGTAAGGATTTTCAAAACAGATTTTCTGACGGATCTTTACAAAATCTAACTGTGCCTCAAATATTTCCAATAGGGTTATGCTGATTTTTTTATATGAGTTAATAGCCTAGACTGTCCATCTGAAAACCGAAGTTAAGCCAATCCTTGATTTCCAATGATTCTGGCGTGGCATAGGATTTCCACGGAGCTCCAGGACTGGCACTCGGTGACGTGAAATAACCTTGAAAGCACAAGAGACATACGCAATCGATTACACGGCCTGGCCAAGCGAAGGTTTTCATCTGTTATGGCGCCTCAGATCGAGATCTCGTCTGATCGCTCTGTACTTTTCACTGTTAGGAGGTAGTATTGTAAGTCACACTAGAAAAAAGTTCTAGAGTAATGGAACGATATGTCCATTTATAAGGCGCCGTAACGGACGGAAAAAGATAGACCGTTACGTGGCCAGATCATCCACTGGTGGCAACATTTATTTTCGAAGAAAACATTAAAACCCTAATGCAAACCGTGTTTTACGAAAACTGGGATTTCCAGGGTGTTTCTACGTAAGCATAAAAAATTCGTAATTCACTCAAAAAACACCGGAACGAGTTGAAAACTTCAGGATATTTATTTCTACTTCATCTATTTTTACTTCAGGTATTTATGCTATTCTACATCCTATTTGTAACAATTTTACACAAAAGATTGAAAATTTTCCAAATTGCCCTTATTGTTTTTTTCTAATATAAACTTTAGTACCTTTGAAACAGTACGTACTGAGAAGTTTTACGAAAAACATTCGAGCAACTCGTGTAATATGATGCCCATGAGGGCAAAGTGTAGAAAAAAAAGCGATATATCTCTATAAAAGTAGAAAAATTAATAAATGAAGCAATAAATTGATATTTATCTAGATAAACTCGTTACATTGGGATATGAATGTTAACGTAGTGAACCCTTCTCATATCATGATAATTCTAACTAGCTCGTTATAATTCGATATCATTTTATCGCCGTTTTTTACCAATATTTAGGGAAGATATCGCGATGAAGCCGATATCTCGATAAAGTGCGAGCTTTGTTCTACTGGACCATATTCTTCGTTTGTTAATCTTAGCAATACCGCAATAATCAAATGTAGAAGGATATAGAGCGATCAAAATTTGTCGATGCTTGTTGTAATATAAGATTGCATTACGATACCTGTGATGCTCATCGCAATAACTTTTGTAATCCAGAGTATAGATCAACCACCATATACCGGATTTGTTGCCATAAGAAATACTATCACGAGAAACATCAAATGCAACGTGATAAACGTTGAATTATCGATAGTTTATAAAAATATTGATAAAGCGGAATTTATGCAAACATGCAGCACGTGGTATACATATACAAAAGTTTCTCAAATTTTCTTTTCTTATTAATATGAAGAATCTCGATACAGCAGTATGTCATCATTCATCGAAATACACATAGATTAAATTATTATCGAGATGAATCTTTATCGTTTGTAGAAGAATTTGAGTTTGGACTTTGTGAATTCATTTTTCTTCATCTCACGCTATCTTGTTTCAAAATCGATAAAAGGAAGACTAGGATAAAATGTAATTTCAATGTCTACTCTTTTTTAGTTTTATGAACTAACTATAAAAAGTTCAAATTATTGTTTTCAAACTTTAAACCATTTTTTTGTTTTTTTCTTCCACTAGCACATTTATCCGATTATATTCAATGTACACGTGTGTGTCTATGTGTGTTTTAAAAAAAGAGAGAAAAACAAAAAGTTTTTGAAACATTTTTTTCAAAATCCTGCCGTGGTACATTTAAAGAAGTAAAAGAAAGTTGAGAACATTTTTTTCAAGTTTATAGTCGATATTCAAAGTTATACGTACGAGCATATGAAACTGAGTTAATCAAAACAAACAAAACAAGCGAGTAGCAACTAAATAAATACTTCACAAAGTAGCAGTAGCATCAGAAGTACAAAAAATACAAAACAAAATATCATTCAAAATAAAAATAAAGAAATAATAAATAAGAACAAAGGCACGCTTAGCGTTTTAATCACAACTTTTTTATATGTTTGCTGAGAGAATGGACGGTGCATAATCAAAGAAAGTATTGACTAATTAAAAACAATGTAAAAGAAAATGTTGAAAAACTTCAAAAAGCATCAGTAATGCTATGAAGAGTGAAGAAAATATGTCTTATTCTATATTGGATCCTTTTTATTTTCATTTCCAATATAAAATTCTCTCTCTGTCTCTCTCTCTCTTATCCATTTATCCTTGACTATCAAGCAAAACGAGAATAGAACTCTTCATAATTCGTAAAATAGACTAAATATTATCCCTTAGATTTTTTTTAACGCTCCGCTACTTTACTAAAACTTTTATTTTCTTTAGCGCTTTGATAATTAATTAGATCTACAAACAGAAGCAAAGAAAAAAATATATATGCTCTCGCTTGCTTGTACAATCAAGTAAAATTATACGTCCATTTTGATGTAAATAAATTCTCTGTCACATTCATTTCTGGTGTATGATTATTGCCGCTATTATTATCTTGTTGCGGTAATGGAGAACTTGTTTGAGATCCAATTAAATTTACATCATTTGTATCGGTATTATTTAATAAATTTTTTTTACGCATAGTTCGTAAACGTTCATTTTCTTTTTGTAATACATCATTTCGAACTTTTTCATTTTCTAATTCATCACGTGAAACGCGTAACTAAAATAGATTAACAAATAAAATACAAAATTAAGTACAAAACTTTCAAGATAAATTTTCGTATACTGTACCACTATATAAAATAAACGAGCGGCAACGGTTCATGCTAAACACACATACACTAGTCGTTCTTCTGTTACAAACTCATATCAGAAGAAAAATTAATAAATTGACAAAATGCACATGCACATATAAAAATTGTTAAAAGAGCATTACATCTCTATGAGTATTTCAGAAATAAACACTCTTTCGTATAATACAATCTAATAAAATAGTGTCGATTTCTGATGTCATAATAAAAAAAGTCATTGAACTCTTTTATCGAGTAAACATCATTTGAATCTCTCTACAAACATAGAAATCATCTATCTACTTTTGAACTCGCATTCGAATAAGACTGATAAAAATATACAAATAATAAACTACAGGAAAAAGTTTGAATAGATGTAGATATATGAATTCTTGGTTATCAAAGTATTGTCATTATTCATGCAATTTTTCTCATGCTGTCTGTGTTCAAAAATAGAGGCTAATTTACACTTTCAAACTCAATCATACGCACACACACAACTATAACGCGTGTACCGTGCATGAAACGCTAAATTAATCTACCTGCTGATGATGACGTTCCTTGTGACCATTCATTTGGTCCTCGTCTTTTATTAGTCAAACTTATTTTATTACTATCATTAGATGAATTACGTCTTAAAGAATTATTATTATTTTGCCAACGTTCATTAGAATAGTCTCTTGATAAACGTCGTGCTACTGAAGATTCTCTTGTATTATATGATGGAGATAATAGTTCTCTTTCAACAGATGTAAAACGTGACGTTGATTGACGTCTTGTGAATAAATTAGATGATGGCGTTCCACAAGCGGTAGTCGATCTAGCTGTGGTACTATTATAAATGTTACTACCTGACGAAGGTGAATTAGTTAATATTTTTGATATATCAGAACTGAGTGGTATAGTATTTGAATTTCGTCGTACAAATTCGATACTATCAACACGATCTTGTAAACGACGATTTTCTAATAAACAATCGTCGTACTTTGTTTTTATTTCACGATACTACACGTTGACGAAAAGAGGCAGGAAGAGATATACATAGTCACAAAAAAAAGAGACAACACACTTGAGAGAGATAGCATATACACTCTTGCTTTCGACATATAATTCTTCTATTCAATAAAGAAGAGCAGATGAAGACAATTTGTTTTGAGAATATCAAAAAGTTATAAAATAAAAAATAAATATGGCATACTTCTTTTTGTAAACGTCTCCTTTCTTGTTTTAATTCTTCTTCGACTTTTTCGGCATCCTCTGTTTGTTGTTTATGCCGTTTAAGTTGAGCATCAAAACGTTTGTTCTACAACAGAAGAAGAAAACAAAAATATACATTTAGTATGAAATAATGAGATCTTCTTTAATAGTTTATTTTATATAATCGAAAATACTGCTCAATTTTTGTAAAGTTTACTAGGTCAGAACACAGAAACATACCTCTTGTTGTAACGACACATTATCGGCTTCTATTCGCTGTAGACGATTTTTTAAATCTATCAGTTCACGAGCCATTTGTTCTAAAAGATGAGAAAAACAAATTTTACTATTTACTAAATTCATGAAACTTAAGTCTAGTTCTGGTGAAACCCTATTTCAATAACTATAACCGCGCTGTCGATCAGAATACTGATTTTTTTATTTTTTTACTTTTCAGAAATACTGACCAAGTCAAAATATGATGAAGAAATTTCTCATTGGCTCTATCTGCCATTGTTGGCACGAGTACACATTTCAACAGTAGTAAAATAAATTCTGTTCATATTTGCCAAGATTCTTTATTCAAATAGATGTTGAAGAGTTGATTTAAATTGAAACTAATACGTATGGCTACAACAACGTGGAAGAGCCGGGATTTTAGCAAATATCGAAGTTCAACTAGAAAGTAATTCAGACTGTCCAGAATCTATTTAGATGGCTAATTTTGGGGAAAACAACTAGTCCTGAATGAAAAAATCGATTTGAGATAAAACGCTGATATTTTAAAGCTGGTAAGAAGACGCTTGGAACTCTTTTATCCAAGAACACAAAGAGTTGCGCGATGCCTCGTCTTTCGAGAAAATTTTTCTCTAGGGATCTGCATGTTTGAAAGAAATTTCAGTCGAATAAATGTCAATCAATATTCAGAAACTTCGTTTTGGGTTCATCCGAAAAACTTGCTCTAAAACTATGAAACACTTCTAAGGTACAAATCGATATTAATTTAAAAGGCAGATGCTTTTTCTTAATTTGGAAAAAGCCTTCGATATTGTACCATTGCAGATATCGGCGAATCGATTGCGCTATTTAATTATTTATTTTATTAAGTCTTTCTTCTAGTGCTCTGAAATGATTTTCCAGTTTACTTGAGTGCTCAACAGCAACAAGTAAGAATAGTCACTCTCTATCCGATCTCTAATCCTTTCTCGAGTGGTCATAGGCGATCCTCAGGGTTCCATATCATCTCCTCTTTTATTAATGAGCTATCAGCTGCGATATTACTACCGACTGATAATATGCTTTATACTGATGACTACACATTAGTTCATTCCATTCTTCACATTTACTCTACAGATGCCGTTGAATATGAAAAATATCGTAAATAAAGTTTCCTCTACTTTCTGAAATAAAGAAATATTTTCGGTTCGTTCTATTCTTTAATGTGTCAGAAGGTTTTCCCGTTTTTCTACCCTAGGCATCAGCGACTTCAACTTAGGCCAGCGATCCAATCGAAACAAAGTCCATTTAGTTACTTTGTTCGTATAGCGACTATCGATACTAGTTTTTTTCGTACGACTATTCAGAACTGGAATCGAACACTACCTTCGATGTTGTTCTCACAACGACCATTAAACGTCATGGAAAGAACTGGATTAATTATAGATTTAATAACTACCCTTACTTTGTTGTTCTAAATGTTCTTGTTGTTGTGAATGTTCATTGATTTTGGGCAACTGTTTTTCTAAAATTTTCAGTCGATTTTGTTCATCGTCTAATTCTGATTTCAATCTAACAATTTGTTCGAATGTATCACGTCTCTCACTTAATAAACGTTTTAATTTCTCATCTAAAATTAGAAAATAAATGTAACACTTTACTTTAAAGTAGTAGAGATATCCCTCCAAAACTAACTGTTAAATGCAAAGACTTTGGCTTATTATATGCCTTACTTTCTAGCTTATTGTTTCAATAATAACAGAGAGATTTGTTCTATTCTATATCAAAATGCTAAAATTGTAAAAAAAAATCGGTCTCTTTCTTCTCGTCTTACCAATATTTCCATTTCCTAATGTATTTAACAAATTAGCTGTTTCTTGTGAAACAAGGCCTGTTGGTAATACAGATATTAAATCACTGTGTACAGATGTAGAAGAGTTGCCATTGCACTGCTGATGTTGATCGGTATATAAAATCATACCAGATTCCTAGAAACATCAAAACGATAATGTTTAATTTTTAAAACCAGCATGTTACTTACTTCGATAAGCTTTTCTCTGTTTTCTAGTAATTCTTTTACATTTGAAAAATCATGTTGTAAATCAGTCAATGTACGTTTTTGTAGATCAAATTCCTAAAACATACAGTAAGAGAGTGTATTATAAATGATCAGAGAGCATCGTTTTATTCTACTTTTGTTTTTTCTTTTAATTGTCGTTTAATTTGATTCATTATTTCTATTTGTTCTTCAAGTTGATCTTTAAAATTATCGACTTGAAATCTTAACGCTTGTTTCTCATTATATAAACTTGAATTTGAGATCATTGATTGTTTGTATTTTATTTCTATTTCACTTAGTAAGCGCTGAAAATAAACAAGAGATGCAAAATGTAAATAAAAAAAAATAATAATAACGGAGAGAACATACGCGCAAATCTCTTTGTTCAATTGACCTTAGATCAGTGTCACCATTAAGAAATTTTTGTAATAACAAGGTATTTGTATTATTTCCACTACCATCGTTACACGATCCACGAGTCTATACATAAATATGAGAGAAAAAAAGAAAGCATTACAAATGTGAACATTTATTTTATACAACATACTCGATTTACTATAGATGGTGTTGACGGTGTATGTGAAATATGTGAGGAATCATCTACATCATCCTAAACAATAAAAAATAAAAATAATTCACATTGGAATATAAGTGACAAAGCAACAAAATTTATTTCGCTGAGTTATGAAAATTAGATATTGAGTCTTACAGCTAACTTTTGTTTTCTATAACAAAAGACATACAAGTAGCATCCATTCTCCATTGAACAGACAGATAGAGGCTAACTTAATACTATGAGATTGAACAGAAAATACCTTTTTGATAAAGATAGCCACTGACAGATAAACAATGAGTATACATAAGGTTACATATCTGAAATAAGCTACAACAAGCTTATGCACCACTGTTTTCCAGCTCAATGAAACAAAGTTGTTTATAAATAATATTATCCCAGTTCATGCATCGTAGGATTTTGAGCAATATTAAACAATGTCAAGAACTCATAAGAAAATAACTATCTTTTTATGAAGTAGCAAAATGAGCTCAAGGAAAATAACATCTGGTAAAAAAAGCTAAATCAAATGTCTTTTGCTAATGAGATCTTTGTTTATTCTAAACGATATCTATAACTAATACAATTGGTATGAGCGTATCAATCATATGTAATAGTTAGCAGTTTGATGAACAATTCGAATGAACAATTCGTCAGAAAATTGCATAAAAACAACACCTGTAATTCTGCACCAAGAGAGCAAATAGCATTTTCTAGCACCCTTTCGGCACTAGGTTCTGTAGCAATTTTTCTCTTGTTGTTAACCCTGAAAAGTAATCAGAAGAAAACTATGGAAAAATGAGCAAACAAAAATCAAATCAGTATGTGATTTCTATAGTTAAAAACGAAAATAGAGCTGTTTAGTTGAGATAACAAGCAAACTGTAGTTAGAAAACACAAATTATTTTGGGTTATAGAAAATCTTGCAGCAAACAAAAATCTACCAATGTTTCACCTCCTCGCTCTCATCATTGACATTATTATTATTTATATTAATATCAAGGCCTTCACTAACTTCCTAAAATATTGAAAGATAAAAAAAGGAAACAATTGAGAATTACACGACAAAATAACAGAGAGAAAAAAAATCATCATCTAACAAGACAAACACTGTTTAAGTAATCTTTTTTCTATTATAAAGAGAAAGGAAACGTTGGTAAACCTACTTCACGTGCTATTTTTTCTAATTCTTTATGACGTAATTCACGGGCTTCGCGATTTTGTTCACGTTGATATTTAAGTCGAAGTTCAGCCTGAACGGAAAAAAAGACAAGATATACTAGTTCATTTTTTGAAAAGTATTTATTTGTATTACTTCTCTCGCAATGGCATCTAATGCTTGTTCTTCGGCGAATGATCCATTGTGTTTTGCAGGACTTGTAACGTTGTTGGAAGAATCACGGTGGCGTCCAGAAGAACTCATGGTTAGATTAAATCATTTTAACTAGAAAAAATGCGGTAAATAGGCTAGCAAACTACATATGACTATTTCAAGTGTTAAAATAACATGTAAAAACAAACAAATATCAGTGAACTCTTTCGGAACGGAACTATTAACCGAAAATAAAATATCCCACTGGTTTTTGCGTGAACAAGAATACTTAACTGATGTTTTAAAAGGTTCAATTATGCCGGAAGAGATTAAGTTCTAATAAGATTAAAACCTAAGCTTGATGTCATTCCAGTACTTCTACTGATAAGTGTACACAGCAGTAGCAAAGTCTATATATGGTATCTTCTTTTTCATACTGTGTAAAAACAAACATATTGTACAGCGTATTCACTTTGTTTTTCCGCAACAACATGAACGCTTGACGTGTGTCATCTAATTTGATGATTAAAGCCAGAGATTTTTTTGAAATTGTACCGGTAATTCTTACATAACATCATTAAAAGATCTCTTTTTATACAAAAAAAGTAGATGAACTGACATGAAAAAAATAGTCGGAAATAGCTGCAGTTAATACATCTGATAGAATGAGTTATCTATTATGATAGACGTATTGATAAGTGGAAACACTGTTTATTTCTAAGGTTACCATATCTCATAATCTAATCCAATGTTCATGTGGTTATGGAAAAGTATCAAAACTAAGCCTACCTAGTTCATTTATAACGAGGACAGATAACAGACTTATAAGCTTTTTCCTTACCAACTTAATCAGAGTTAAATTTTTTCTTCAGTTTGACAACAGCAGAGTTTTGGATACTCCATCTGTCAAATAGAGTTAATAAATTCAAGTAGAAAAGGGCATCAACCGGAAATTGCCATCGCCGCGGATTCGTTTATGTTAAAGTGTGAAAGTGTAAACGGGTAAAATTGAGAATGAAGAAGTGAGGCTGAAGGTGGAGAACTTCTTCACTCACTTCACCATCACTCGCCGCTAGTTCGTGTATGTTAAAGTGTTAACTCTAAAATATTAACACTTTAACACCGAATGGCGATTTCCGGATGTTATGTAGAAAAGAGTGTTTCTTTGCTCAATGGACGGAGAGACCTTCGGGAAAACTCAGCAAGACTTGGATCTGGGGCCATGATTTAATTTAAAACATACTCTTGATCTGTTGAATTCCAAATCCTCAAAAAATGCTCTATTTATTAGAAACCATCTCAAGGAAATTTTTTGTCGAGGGGGCCGCCTGAAAGATGTGCGCTTTTGTAAGACCTGGTAAATTCTTAAATAAACGAAAAATAGAATTTATTAGATTCAGCCTCACCAGCGTTCAGTCCTACATGCTGACCATAAAAAACCTATCATCAAATGTTTTCCGTTCTCTTACCTGCGACAATGCTTGAATTTTGACTTTTTCATTGGAAGTTTTCGGCCAATCAAAAAGCATCGAGATATTTGTTTCCTGGGTTGCCAACTCCGAAAGTCCAAAAAGCGGAAAGCAAATTTTTAGTGTGCATCTCCATCTTTTTAGCACCATAACAGTTTTAGCACCGTCATCAAGGAAACATATCACATCATCTGACAATCTATGTGCTTCTTTATATTAGCATACACATTGTTGCTAAACGTTACACTGTAATACTAAAATGTCTCGCAAAAATTGATTAATAAACTTCTCCAGTTGATGCAAAAGACAATATCTCACCAGCTTTACCAAAAGATTAGTAACACTAGTTCCAGTCTTTCCCTGTCCTTTTTCATTTCTTTTGTTAAATATATGAAGCCAGACATTTACTGGAAAACTAGTTTAAATTGGAGAATGTTCACTGTACAAAATAAGACATGATCACTGGAATAACATGCTTTTGATCTTGGCTGACAAAATTTCGTGAAAAACACAGTGATCAGTATTAATCGGTTTTAAGTTCTTCACCTAGTGCTTACGGCCATACCACGTTGAATGCACCAGTTCTCGTCCGATCACTGAAGTTAAGCAACGTCGGGCTCGGTTAGTACTAGGATGGGTGACCGCCTTGGAATACCGAGTGTCGTAAGCTTTT